GGTTGCATATAAATGTTGTTATCATCTTATATTATGCATCATTTTTATGACTATCATGAAATAAATGAAAGAACTGGACAGTTCCAAAGTTCAAAGGAGGTTTAAGCGTCAGATATATGCAACAAAGCAGTCTTTCAATGAGTCGTGTTAATTATACGCTTCCTTTATGAATTCTCTTTTTGCATTCAGTTGTCTGATCAATTACTTCTGACTGCTTCAAGATTTTTCATCGAAGTGATAAAAATATCGTTATAAAAATTGCATTCTGTACTATTAAATATCTGTCGACCTACATAGCAGATCAATTTGAATTTCAACTTAATACGACAGTAATCCGAAAAGACTTCAAGGAATTTTTTGAGTGAATGAGACAATCAAGGAAAATCGAAGAATTGAAGAATGGAACGCATTGATCTCAATTCAAAAGCGATGGATGAATGAATGGATATGGGCGGACATCAGAAGGAGATGGTGATGATGACATGACATGAAATGACATTGTATAAGAATCAGTACAGTTTCCAGTGATGAGTTCATGAGAGAACAATAATGATATTAATAACAACTCCTTCAAAGATTTACGAAAATGATAAGAATCTTCAAAAAGAATGCCAATAACATCACATCACACAATCTTTCCCATATCAACCTTAACTACCAAACAATCATCAAGTCAAGACTGCACTTAGAAACAATTTGGCAATTATAATATCAAGGATAAAGTTGCAGCAATTAATGCAACGATGATTGCAGTTGTCAACAAAATTCAGTCATTCAAAACGAACGTTCCAAATAAGAGTAATCATCTAAGAAATTTTTCAAGCAATCTGATGCGAACAAATAAATGAAGCTAATTGTATGGGTTTGACACGATGTGAATCTGAGCCACGTACTGACGCAACGGAACAGGACTGGAATAATGTTTAAAGTTTGTTCTTCAGGCATTAAGGTATAATTGAAACCGAAAGCTCTCAGAGGAAAAAATCAAGTGAAAAATCATGAAAAAGTGAGCACATTGCGTATGACATACAACAGATTAAGTAAAACTGGGAGTGAAATGAAATGAAAACGTTTCGAGGAAACATAATAATAATGTGAAAATTAAAATGGTAAACAAGATGAAAATATAAAAGTTGAAACGAGAAAACAAAAAGTTGAAGATGTAAGGCTAATTCGAGCCATGAATTTGGTTAAACAGCAGACGTGAAACATTCTGAAGATGCTACTGAAGTAGTAATTGAAACTGTTTGTGTGAATGCACAAATGCTCAGAAAGTGTTCGTGAACATATTTAATGCAGAGCATTTACTCGTTCATCAATCCGACCGAGTATGGCGTATGAAGAAAACTACAACAAGAAGGGAGTGAAGAACGTTGGCTGATGAACGCACTGAAATCTAAAATAAGATCGATCTTCATTTTCAGTGCATTACATGAATGAAGAATTATGTTACATGTTTAACGACAACAGGAAATGTGAGCATACAAAAGTGAAGTGCAGTGAAGTTCTCATGACTGCAATATGGTCGCCACTTAAGAATCGCACTGAAAGCCATGCGAAATCAAGCATCGAATGGGATCAATCTGATACAATCATCAAGGACTGATGAATTTTTCCATCATAAGATGGTGAACGGATATCTTTAGCTATGCCAATATACCGGTCGGTTTAAAGCAAAGAATTTTGGTTAACGGAAATCGAATATACGACATTGCAATTTTATCAGTATTCAAAGTGGAGGTTTCAACAGTTATACTTAAAAACAAATGGTATGTTGTGTGGACATTGTAGTTCATGCCAGGCAATGCTGACAGAAGTTTATTTCCGATTATATCTGTCTGAACGGATATAAAGATTTAAGCACTCCTGATATCATTCGACATAAATACGATTGTTAGTCATAAATACGATCGAAAATCATTGATGCAATGTGGTGATTATTCATTGTAAAAAGAATTTTACAATGCCAAATATTGACAAGAAATGCTTCCCGCTGGGTTCTTTAACGCACTTTATCATCAAAATGACGTGATCTCAGGGAGCAATACTAATGACAAAGATCATACATCAAACAAACTCTATGAAAAAGAAACGTTGAGCCTTGCACATTCAAAATTAATAACNAGTGACAATTCTTGACCCTGTAGTTGTGAAGTAGGAGGGGGGAGATCTTAAAATTTCGGGACAGCATTTGGGAGAGCGAAACGAAATCAATTGTTTTTTTGGTAGTTTCATTCATTTTGGATGAGCAAGTGTAGTGTAGAATGAAGGGGAAATTTTCATTAATTTCTTTTGTTGTTTGTTGGTTGAACAGAGCTTGAAAAGCATTGCGTCATTGCGTGCCTATAAACATGGTGACCAAAGAACAGAAAACAATCAAAGCAAAAATAACGAATTCGATAAATTGCATGAACCAAAGAGCTCCACTGAGAATGCCGAAACTGAACGAATTCAAGTTAATCGTTCTAAGAAAAACCAACTGCCCTACATGAAATTAATTACAATTAGAACACTGATGGTAATAAGAATTGATCGCACACTATTATCACTCAACAATCCATTTATTTCGAGTGTACTCTTTGCCATGAAGGAATAGAGAAGATTTGTTGTGAGACTTTGCGTATGATAAACTGTGTCAAGAGTGTATGAAGGCAGCAGGCGTGTCGACGATATTATTAAACGAATGCATGATAGATGCGTGTCTAGATAGATGCATACGTAATCACTGCAATGTCAGTGCTGTGAACATTCCTATCAAATCATCCGTCCTTGAGCATATTCTGTATTCCAGTTCGCTCATTCAGTCATGATATTGCTCGCTGATTTCACGAAACATGTGAATATATGGCGTCGGCAATGTGTCACTTGGACTATTTATCAACACATTTCTACACAAAGACAGCGATTTATCAGTTTGAACTGAGTTGATCACACCAGGAATACATCCTTAACCAAGCATTTGTTTCTCAAGCTGAGTGAGAAGTCAGTTTTTTGAGTTCATTCTGATGACGATCAGTTAATTTCTGAGGATGAGTCGATGCTAAACGAGATAGTTCGCTTTCGAGCTACATTCTCATATTCAGTGTCAATAGATAATCACAAGTGACGTTTAATATGTTCGCCCTTATTTCTGAGGACGCATTTCTCAAGGCAAGCTATACGTCAGAGGAAAGAGAAGGGAATGAAGATAAGGGGTTTCGGTTGAAAATTCGGGGAAATCTCATGGAAGGAATCAGAAACTATAAAAATTTAAATGTTATTGTTTGCTGATAATGAGGCTCATAAGTGTCAAATTCACGGCATTGCAAATCAATCGAAATTATTTTGCCGAAAGCTGATCATTTGAAAAGTTTAAACCACTGTGAGTTTCACTGAATTTACGGCGTCTGCCTCATTATTCCATCCAACACACCAAAACTCTTTGAATCAGTGCCTCTTAGGCCTTGATCATTCCTCTAATCACTAAATACCTTTCATAGAGAGCTTAAAAAGAAATTCAACGGAATGTAAGGAAACAATCTTCATTAGAGCACTTTTTACATTCTTTTTCGGCTCAACACTTCGCACGTCCACATTCTTACTGAAATATGTTCTTATCAAATGGCAATGTATTGGATAAGGGATAATGCATGAATGATCAACTGCAAGCAGTCGAATAGCTGAGACGTCGAAAATCGTAAGATTAACGAGCAAAGTTTCTTATTTACGAAGACGGCAATTATGCGATTTCATAATGCGCACGGCATGGTTAACAGGTTAATTTTGCATAACTGGTTCGTATCAACAAATCGCTTACATACCGTTCTGTTGAATATCAATTGAGGCGTATGATTCGAGAGAGCGGATCTGATTGTCGCTTATTGTTCTCTGAAGATATATAAGGTGAATTTATTATCATTGCCAACATTTCCCACTAATCAGTCCTTATCACCTCAGTTCCAGCTTCGTTTCATAGTGTTGGGCGCTCTTAAGTCTGCTCATCTTCAGTTTTATCTTCCAATTTCGTCTAAATTAAGAAATATTGATACAGCCTTATTTGGTCTGCCGGATTGTCGTATCGTTCTTTCTGAAGTTGCCGAAGTGTCAGCAATAATTGATGATCCATGATCGGTTGTGTTTTCAGTTTCCATCGGGAATAATGAAAACAGACTTATGAAAACTATTAGTGAACGCTGACTGACAATGTTTTTTGTTCGTCGGTGATCTTTCTCATTTGTTTTTATTTCAAAAAAATTGATGTATGAAGTGTCAGCGATGTATTTAACGAATTCGATGATTATCAAAGCAAATCAGACGTTTGCTTACAAGCAAAAATCGTGCTTTGGGAATTACTGAAACAAATGCGTCCTGCAGAAATATGGATGCGAAAATGGCAGCACACGGGGCCGTTGGCCTTAGCTTACTTTCCTTGATGGCATGTAGCATCTTTCTACCATCACTATGGATGAAGATCTCATCGATACAAGATGACATTCGAATGGTTAGTGTTGTCTCAGTGCTAAGCAATAACATCTCATTGGAAAAGAGCGATCAAAATCTCTAGTTTCGCTCAATTGTTCCGTTTGTCTGAACGTTGCTGTTAGATGTGATTTGATAATTTGACGTGAGCCGAGTTGTTCTTCGAGTCGAATGACATGCTAATTCGTTACTGACCGCATTCCAAAGGCTTTCAATAAAAGTAACACTAAATGTGATATTTCTAATATCTCTTAAACAATAACTGTTCGCAGGATATGGAAGAATTTGAAGACTTACAACGAGGCGTCTTTAGTGAGGTGCGAAAAAGAGCAGATCCTTCCTATGATGCAACATTTAGCATCGCCCTAAGGAAGAAACGTCAACTGTCTGCACCTGGCCAATGTAGTAAGTGAACAGATATTTCTTAAATGAATGATCAATAAACATTTTACCAAATCATATGTGCAACTCCTCAATAATCACATTTATCAATAATCATACTCTCTTGATCCATCGATTCTTCCGAAAACATCGGAGGAATTCTGCGATAAATTAGACGTATTGCTCACTAAAATTCGTTTTTTGCTCAATCTGCAGATCAAATATGTTGTCTGGATTTTCAGACTGCAACGCTGACAATACCTGTCCACCAGGCCGTCCAGGTGTTGCTGGAGTACCAGGTGAACATGGCAGCCCCGGTTCACCTGGCTATAGCGGCGCACGTGGATTACCTGGAAATGCCGCGCCGGTTCTTACAGATACTCAGTTGAATTGTCGCATATGCCCGAATGGACCAGCGGGTTATCCAGGTTGGAAATTAGATGTTAATTATTGTTTGCAATATATGAATCTATCGGAATGTTAGATATGATGTGAAGCTATTGCTATGCAGTAGAACAATGATGTGTGGACTTTGATTGCTTTTGCGCCCATAATTCAAAACTTCTAGACTATAACGATAATCACCTAAATTTTTATGCCATCTTCTCAAAATGGCATCGTTGTCTTTACCTCTTAGCACTGCAAAATGGCTCTTTCCAGGTCCTCCCGGACAGCTTGGTCCGTCTGGCCCTATCGGACCACCTGGAGAGTTCGGAAGTGTAGGTCATGGTGGTTTCGACGGAATCCTTGGCCGATCCGGTGCATCCGGTTTGTTTTTAATTTTAGAATGTCCCGGAACTCGTAGTCAACTCAGTTGATTCAGTGCACTTTTACTGACTTCGCAACAGTACTCAGCTAGTGGATAATAACGATTTATCTCTGAGGTGTTTACTTGCACATTGTTCATATGAACTCGTTTCAGGTGAGCATGGCAGCAATGGAGAAAGAGGCGAAAAGGGTACAGCTGGAAATGACGGAAGTCTTGGTCAACAAAGCTCACCAGGTACACCTGGTTCAAGAGGTCCGACCGGTCCACAAGGATATCCCGGACCGAGCGGTAACGAAGGAAACAACGGATTTCAAGGAGCACAAGGACCTCCGGGTTCCAGTGGAGATCCGGGGCCAGATGGTTATGATGGACACCCTGGTGCTGCAGCATCTACTGGAGCTCCTGGCGAGGATGCGTCCTACTGTCCTTGCCCTCAGAGACGAGCAAAGGCTAAACTGGTTGCATAAGCTTATTTAAGGATATCGAGCCATTCTTGTTCCAATTCAACAGCTGATCTTTCGAATAAAATGATGTCAATTGATTCTTTTTCACGATTTTTGTATAATGCTGCAATAATTCTGTGAAATCGCTTGCTTGCTTACAAGATATTATCGATAAACTGCTTACATCAAGTTTCTTGATCACTAGATCAATTTTTCTCAGTTCTAGCCAAAAAATGATTGATTGTCAGTGAGAGAAGGGGATCGGGATTCATGCACACGTAGAGTGAGGAATGGCGATGCATAAAACGGCCAACAAGGGAACGATACACGAAAGCGAAAAAAAAATCACATG